AACTGATAAAACACTCCATATAAGTTTTCTTTACATACGTTATGCATTGTATAATCTTTATTAGATTTAAGGGCCAATGAACCTAGCAGAGGTCTCAGGTTTGACAACTCATCATTGACCAATGCAGAATTTCGACCTATATAGTGCGCGCGGCAACACAGACAGAATGCCGTCTATTTTCCTTTTTGCGTATTCGATGTGGGATCCGAAGACAAGAGTGCGCGCTTTGCCAAGTGGTTGTTGGCGCATCATTGGCGCTATATTTCCATAGAAGAAATCAAAAATAAATAAACGTGTTTTGGAAAAAACCGTCAAAAGGCAGGAAGCAATCAAATGGGAGAGGTTGCTGATTTGAATTTTGTAAAATCGTGTACAATTTATACCAAGCAGTCGGTGATCTGCTCTGCCATGTGGGAAAGAAAAATCAAACGCTATATAAGACGAAACACTTTTTACATATTTTCAAAAGAATATTACTTCATAAGAGAATGTTGACAAGATAAAGATCTACATTGAAAGTCTTTTTGCAGTTGTGCGATAATTTTGTCCCGATACGGCAGGACTGATCGTTATTAAGACTATTACGCAAATCTTTTATTTGAAATTTGAAATTTTTATGATACCTTAGACGTCCTGGTATACTCATGCAAGCAAAAGCTCTTTTCGAGGTTCCAAACCCAAGGAAGCCCGCGCGCCTAATACACTACAATAATTGAAACTTGAAAAGACATGCAAACCAGAAGGGGTTAGTCACGTATGGACCAGGATCCGGCTAATCACCTCCCTCGTGGCTGGGCGCAACGGTCATCCATTCGGATGGGTGACCGTTTTGTACTCGTTTCTACTTTTTTCTTTTTTCCCTCCTTTTTCTTTTTCTTTTATTCTTTTTTAATATTATCATTTTCGGGCGTACTTAAAATTTGAGCAAATTCTTCTAGATTTTTCCAACATAATCCGTTTCACTCCAAGACATTGTGGCATGTTTTTTTTGTCTTCATTAAACCGCAAAGACGCTCTTGTCCCTATTTTTCAAATTTACTTTTCATGTTTTTGATGAATTCTTATTTTATATTCAAATACTCCTATATATAACTGATGACTTATTAGGCAAATAGAAACAGACTATATTTGGCCACACATGCATGGACCTTTATAACTGATAAAACACTCCATATAAGTTTTCTTTACATACGTTATGCATTGTATAATCTTTATTAGATTTAAGGGCCAATGAACCTAGCAGAGGTCTCAGGTTTGACAACTCATCATTGACCAATGCAGAATTTCGACCTA